CATGGATTCAACCTGGAATCCAACTGGAGCTCTGTCACTGGGAAGAAGATTAATTTATCAAGACCTTATTTCTGCATCGAGCTGCCGTGCAAAAGGTCATCAGTGCAGCTGCCAAAGGCAGCTGATGGCAACAAACCCCCCCAGAATCGGGGGCAACCCCCTAAATTTTTGCCACCTGCAAAATTTGTCCTCCCCTTCTCCGTGACCCCCGATGTGAACTCGAAGAAACAGTCGAGGCTCACCTTGTTGCACGCACAGCACGGCAGCCAGCAGGGTGACGAGAGGAGCCCTCATCTCCAGCAGATCCTCCCAGCAGCAACTGGGAAGGTGTTTTTGGAGGGCAGGTTTTATACCCGTGGATTGGCAGCAGTTTTACAGGTTCCCGCCGGTGGACACCCACTCAGCCCACGGGCGTGGGGTGTTTCACGTGGGAGTTCTCCGGGCTGGAGCCCTCGGAACAACCCGGCACCTTGGGGGGAAAAAAAAATTCCCTTTCAGCAACAGCAGAGCCCTGGGGGCACAGGGATACAGTCCCAGCCATGACTTTTTCTAATCCCTGATGCATCAGGGTTTGTACTGTTCCTTTCCCCGAATCATTCACCAGGAGCGGGCTCAGACTCTCAGCTGCCTTCCCTTAAATAAAATCAGCCTGTTTCACACCTCGTTAAATCGTCTGATGGTTGGTAAAACGGAAGAATTGCCTCCGATTTTCATGTCACTCCTCGTTTCTTTATCAGTTTCCCTCCCCTTAATCCCTCTTCTCTTGCTTGTAATCCTCAAAAACCCCCGTTCACTTTTTATTTCATCAGCTCTAGCTCCTCTTTCAGGGATCCTTCAGAGGGACTGATTTTCTCCAGCAGAAATCCAACAGTTTCTCAAATCAGACTTCCATTTACGGAATCAGAAATTGGCTCCCTGGAATTGCAGCTCTGCTCTGCAAAGAGCCATCTCTCAAACTGCCTCTTTTTTTAATTTCTCCCCTCTCAACTCCATCCTCTCTCCTCTGAATTTCTTAAAAAATGGTTTCTGACAGTCTGGGGTAGAGGACCCCGAAGATGCATCAGGAGTTGCCATCCCAATAGAGCTTTTTCCAAAATCAAATCACTCCTGGACAGCAGGTAGAGCAGAATGTGCGAAAGAAAATATTGTCAAAACCTCCTTTTTTTTTTTTTTTTTTTTTTTTTTTTTTTTCCCCTGGCAATTGCAGAATAACTTCAGGAATTCCCTGAATGCAGCCACCAGGAGGGGATTTTTATCTCTCTCTGAGGAGTCATCCCCACACTGGATGATTTCCTCATCCATGGGAATGTCAGATGCTTTTTTTTTTTTTTTTTTTTTTTTTTTTTTTTTTTTTTTTTTTTTTTTTTTTTTTTTTTTTTATTTTATTTTTTTCCCCAGGCCCTCCTGATCTCCTCCTGGAACGGCGTCATCCAGTGGTGAATTCCAGGGTTATTCCAGCCTGATGCCAAACTGGACATTCCCACTCTGGGGTTTGGAGGTTGCTGAGGTCAACAAGGACCTGGTGACAATCAAACCCAGCCTCGTGCTGCTCAAGAGGGCAACTTCTATAACCGAGGGTGTCACAAACAGGTTCTCCTTCTTAATTAGTGGGTGTGGCTTCTTGGTGGGATTTTGCAACGAGGATACAAGGAAGAAACCATTTCCCCCTTATTTTTGCTCCTGGTTATCCCACAGACTCCTGTTGGCTTTCGGAGAATCATAGGCTGGGCTGATTTGGAAGGGACTTTCAAGGTCATCTCATTTACCTCCCACTAGACCAGGTTGCTCCAAGGGCTGCCCAACCTGGCCTTGAAATGCCTTGTTGAGTTTCCCAACACCCATTTTACTCCTACAATGAACCTTCCTGCAATAGGAGCAAGTCAACTTTGGAGGAGAGGTAATGTTAAAAACTCCCCCCAGCACATCCAAGGCGGGGAAATTTGGGTTGGAAAAGAGCTTTTCTACGTCAAAAATTTATCTGGGAGCCTTTTCCAGGACATTCATGCCTTCCTTGGTGTACTGACACTGTAATATTCCCTCTTCCCAGTGTCTGGAGAGTGGAAAGAGAGATTTCTTTCTCAAGAGGGATGATTATGAACCTCAAAAGCGTCACTTAAGGATCCAGAAAGGATCCTGCAGGCACACCAGGGTCACCAAGTGAGGAGCAAGACTGAGGAAGACTGGAACTAAAAAAACCCCAAGGAAGCTGAGTCACCTCTGTGGAGTCATCTCATCACCATCCATCTGGGAAAATTAAATGGATCTCAAACTGGAGCCGTGATTTGGCAATGGACCTCAAACTGGAGCTATCAGTTGGCTGTGTGACAGCAGAGCAGCAGTGAATTTTGGAGAAGGGTCACTTTCGTCCCTTGCCATGGCTTCCAGGAGCTTTTCAGACCTTGCTTTGGTCTTTTGGATCCATCCTATCTCTTGCTTTGTCGTTGAGTCCCTGGGTGTTGGTCAGATGTGGACAGAGAAATGGGGAAAAGGGGGAGAAATCTCACGTTGTGAGGGAAAAGGTGCCCAAATTATTCAAGGAGAGCAGAAAGGCAGCACAGATCCTTCACAACTAACGGTGATAAAGCCCTGAGTGAAGGAGAAGAAGGGCCAAAGTCAAAGCACCTCCTAATTTAGGCAGGGCAAGGCCTCCCTGGCTGATGCAGGACTTGGTGCAGCGACTCAGAGCACCAAAAACCGAGCTCTTGTATAATCCACAGGGAGAGGGAGGCAATTCCCTCCCAGGACCAATCCCAGCTGTTTGAATGAGACTCCCACCTCCTTCCCAAGAGCCCTCCATCCATCCCAGGTGGCTCTGCTGGGCAGCTCAACACCCTCAACGTGCCAGGAAGGTGAAGCCGTGGGATCCGACAGAAATGCTGGGCAGAGGGATGTGGGATCAGGAACCGGCACCTGAGAGGGAGACGTCACCTCAGGACTCCTCAGGGAGGCAGGCAAAGAGTCTCCCCTTACCCAACACTCCCAGGGAGGGTTCTCCAAGGGAGCTTCCATGTTTTTTTAGGATCTCCTGTGCCTCAGGGCATCCGAGCTCCCATCTCCGGACAAGGAGCTCGAGTTGTGGGTCAGCCTTGGCCCAAACCCATGGGCAGTAGGGAGTGGAACCTGTGGGATCAGGGAGAAATCAGGCAAGAATCAGGGTGTCCCACCTGCCTCCTTCTCCTTGGCCATGCCAAGTTCCTTCCCAACCTAAAACAGAGGCACCTGCCAAGTTCAGGCAGCACAAGAAGACACGACCTGGTTTTAAACCTGGTTGCCGAGAGCTGGCCCGAACTCACAAGCTCAGCACAACAAGACCTGGGGCCTCAATAACCCCAGCTTGGCCTTTCCCAGTCCCTAAGGAATCCTAAACCTGTGGAGAGGCAAAGGCTGAGAATTATTCCAAATAGTTCAGTTGTTGCCACGTTGAGATCTGGGCATGGGGCAGAATTTGGCCACCCAAGGCCACGGGACAGCTCTTGGCTCGTGTAGGGTGGTCACATCTGTGTGTCACTTGAGTATCTCTGAATGTGGCAGGAGGGGAAGAAAAGGGAAGAGGGTAAATCTGATGGAAGGCTGGATAATAAAACCCATGAGGAGGAGGAAGAGTCTCAAGGCTAAAAAGATGGATTATCCTTGGCCAACCTGGGATTTACACCCAGGAGAAAGCACTGAGCTGAGGCTGTAGGAAGAAAACAGAGGTTGGGTGGAAAAACTGGGATTAAGAATGGATGAAGAAGCCAATGAGGAAATCTAGGAGAGAAAACAGCCAGGAGTGCAGAGCTGGGGGTGGGATGTGGGTGGGAGGAAGGGCTGAGAGCAAGTGGGGATGAGCTGGTCTTGAGGTCAAGTTTCCTTTGAAAATCTGTTAAAAATACTACAGATGTGGCTATTTCTGAGCAAACACCCATCAGAGGGAGCAGAACACGCAGCTGCTCTCCCCGTGACTCGAATCCACAGAGGGAAAACCAGCTGGATGAGCTGCACCCAACTAATTATCCCGGGAGATCTTCCTTGGGGCGATCCATGGGGAGAGCTGCCCCGCTCGGGAGAAAGCAGCTCACCCTCCCCTGACTCACTTTGGGAGGCTCTGAGTGAGCAAAACCCTCACTCCTAAGATTTTCCACAGGGAAGGGCAGTGCAGGGTGATGAGTCCCTTCAATTTTACCCACGCTGCCAAACCTAAAAAGATTTATGTTCCGAGTTCGTATTTTGTTGCAGATGAGGCTGGAATTTCCAAACTCCAGCGGTCTTTCCTGATGCTTTTCCTTTCAGCACCGTGCAAGGTGCTTTCCTCCCCTTTCAGGATAATCCTTAATGCCCATAAAGCAATTTCCACTGGAAGATCTTCGACCAGTTTAAAGAAAACTTAATGCTCTAGTTCCCTTCCCGCGGAGTCCTGCCCTGGCCCCTCTGTTTGCTGAGCAGCTGACCCAGGAGAGGAACTGAAAGCAAGTTAAACAGAGTTTATTCTGAAACAGAGTCACAAAAACTGACATTTCTGCCAATGCAAAAAAAAAAAAAAAAAAAAAAATCAAATCTGGGGAGAGGCTTCCAGAGCAATTTGAATATATTCCAGCATTATTCCCGTCCACTTGCAGCCTCCACTTTCATTCCTGCTGACATGGATGCATCCAGCAGCTCCTCCCCACGTCCCATGCCACACAGCCACACGAGAGAATAAAATAACACTTTATTGTGCCCAGTTGCTGCTTAACAACTCTGATAGTAAAGGCTTCCTCGGAGCAAAACGAAAAATGGTATGAAGGGGGGGAAAAAAAAAGGCACAAAATGAAGGGGGAAAACTGCTCTGGTTTAGAAATGCCAATAGCAGGAGAGAGATGGGGGTACACGGTGCCCGTGGGGGGCTCCACATCGCTCCTTTCTCTTCCAAAAATACCATTTTGAGGTAGGGCAGTGCCCCTGGGTGTTGCCATCAGGGCAAAAACACCTCCTGATAGGACATGACCTCCTGGGCGCGGCAGAAGCAGGGTGACCACGCAAGGCCTCCTTACACCCCACCCCCTCCCAGAAACCCTTTAAAATCCCATCCTGAGGACGCAGGCCAGGCTGGCCAGGAGGCCCAGGGCGATGATGGTGGAGCTGGTTCTGACGGTGCCGGCGCCGCTGATGTTGCAGAGGGAGGTCTCGCAGCAGCTGGTGGCGACCCCGGCTATGCCGATGTTGAGGTCGATGGTCGGGCAGAAGGAGGAGCATTTCTTGGTGATGCGCTGGCTCTTGTCATTGCCTGCGGGGAAAAAACAGCGGGAAAAGCCGGGATTTTTATCCCATATATTTTTTTTTTAGGCTTCAGCGATCACCTGCACGTGCAATATCCAGGGGTAGAGCCCGGTCTACTGCTGCTTCCTGCTGGTGATTTCCCCTCTGGCTGCACTGTTATTTGCGTATGTTGTGACCTCTTGAGACCATCTCCAGCCCTCATGACCCTTCTGCTGGTTTCAGGGCCAGCTGAGAGCAACCTTGGGCATGAATTTTTAGGTTTTGAGGCGTCCCAAGATGTCATCACCGCACCTTGGGTTCACTCCTTCCACAGAAACTGGCCCTTTCCAATTCCACCCCCTCACAAGGACGTGCTTGAGCTTGGAGTTGAGACAAGGGGTTTGTGGAGGGAAATTCTTTCTATTGGGATATCTCCCTTTCCTGGGAGTGTTTAATCAGCGCAGCAACAGAGATAACCCCTGAGTTCTGCAAGGTTTGCTACAACCCTCATTAATTCTTCCACCACACCTCCTGGTGGGAGGAGGCTCTGCAATCAGCCTCCCCCTGATCCCAATCTCGCCATAAGAGCCCGGGAGAAGCTCCCCACTTACCCATTCCCGTGGTGGAGTAGGTGGTCAGACAGTACTTCTCATTATCGGAGCATTTGGTCGTGCCGAGACAGTGGATGTTGGAAGTCGCGTCTTTGCACGAGAAACACGTCAAGGAGGAAGCTGGTGAAAAAGCACAGAACGCCCATCAGTCACCTCCAGAAACATCCCCAGGAGCACAAAACTGGCGGTGGATGGAGGATCTGTCAAGCCCAGTGGCCACTGGTTGATAAGCACCTCCACGTGTTAAAATTGGCCCCGGAGACTCTCCGGGAGCCAAGTTAGTTTAACTCAAATTCCTGTTCCTCAAGGATGTACTTTGCTCCTTTAGGAACCCTCAGGGATCTTCCTGCTGGATATTTAGTTGACTCTCCCTTGAATCCATTTAAATGTGTGGCATCTCCACGGTCCTGTTGGGAAGAGCACCTCAATCTACTGCCACTTGCAGCGTGAAGCTCTTGGGGGTCCCTTTCCAGCCTGGCTCCTCCAAGCCTTGGTTGGTGGACAAGAGTTCTTGTAATGGAGACACTGGACCAGTGAAGCTGTGGCTGCCCCATCCCTGGAAGTGTCCAAGATCAGGTTGGAAAAGGTTTGGAGCAACCTGGGCTAGTGGAAGGTGTCCCTCTCCACGGCAGGGGGTTGGAACTGGATGATCTTTAAGATCCCTTCAAACTCAAACCCTCCCACAATTTCTTTTCTGGCTCATTTTCAGAGCTCTCCTGTGTCAGGAGGAAAATCTCGAACTTGCAGAAGACAAGGGCTGAGCAAATCACCCCTTGGGCTGCAGCAGATTCCTTTTTCCAGCCACCCAGGGGTGTTAACATCCTCTCTCCACAAAATGTGCACATCTGGAACACTCTGCATCCGCCAAGTGCTGTTGCTGATGGGAATGAATGCAAACAGCTTGCACTCGACGAGGCTAAAACAGCCAGTCATGGCAAAGAGATCCTTGGGGAGGGTTTCTTTGCATGATAAGAGGAATTTCCTCCTCATCTCTTTATCTGGCACAAACACTCCCAGCAGCAATGTCACCCTCCAGGGATTAGACTGATCCTCATTTCCAGAAGATCCCTTTCTGTGGCCAGTTAATACCCATCTAATTCTTGGAGCAGCGCTGGCCTTTAGCTTTGCCTTCCTTGCTCTTCATCTTTCTTGCTCTTCTTCTCCCTTGCTCTTCATCTTCCTTGATCTTCTTCTCCCTCACTCTTCACCTTCCTTGCTCTTCCTCTCCCCTGCCCAAGCTCACCAGCACCTTTGCCAGCAGTGTCCCCACCTCATCCCTGCCCTTGTGTGGCCTTAAGACAAGTTCATCTGGCCCAAACAGGCTCCTCAGTGTCCTCCCAGCCCTGACCTGACCCCAGCTCAGCCCATGACTCCAGGATCACTGGTTTCCATAGGGAAATGCCTTTTGGGTCACCATTCATCCTCTGCCTCCGTGGAAACTGCCTTCTTCTCCGTGTCCAACTTACAGCCCCTTCTCCACTTCCACGGCCTCCCAGTGCTGACCTTCCCTCTCCTCTCATGGTCCATAGTCCTCACATTCCCTGCTCTGTTGTGTCCCACTAAATGGCCATGAGCAGAGGCCGCAGAGGACACAAAGATCAGACAGCTGGGCTGGCAGTGCCTCAGATCCCATCTCCCTCCATTGCCATGGTTGTTTCAAACCCCTCAACCTTGGCTCCCTTGGCTCTCTTTGACTTCACCCCAAACCTGCTGCAATTTCCTTTCCATCTCGGTCATTTCCGTCTCCAGAACCCCACCAGTTCTCCCACCTGGCTCTTGCCTTCAGAATCATCCAGAACCTGATGGATAAATTTATTTCTCCAAGTCTAGGACCCTCCTTTGGACCATCTGTGTGAGGAATGTGTGGCTTCACTCTCTTTTCTCCTGCAAATCCCAGCCAGGGCTATTTCTGCTCCACCCCTCTGGGAGCCACCCTTTCCTCCCAGAAACGCACCAAAGCTCAGTCCCCAAACTGGATTTTCCAGACACATAGCCTGGTTTAATCCTTAATAATACACTGCTTCGTTAATCCAAGCCCATCCCCAGAATAACTTCCCGAACTAACGCAGGAAACTGTGGAGCTCGTTACGTGCCCAAATCCTGTTTCATCCCATCCTCCCAAAGCTGGGAGTCTCCTTTTCAGAGTCCAGTTGCCCTGGGAGCCTTCCACCCCCATGCAGGAATGATTTTTCCAACTTCTGGTTCTCCTCGGGAGGTTTCTTCCTCACCATTTCCTAGGGCACTCTGGAAGCAGATGGAATCCTAAATGGCAGCTCAGTTAAGACTCCAAAGTCAGGGAGGACTATTTTGGTCATTCTACTGAAAAAGCACTTCTAACTTATTTCACCTGCTGAGACATTTGAGGGCTGAGAAGGGGAGGAAAACTATCTAGTTCTTTCAGTGCCCTACTCAAGGTGTAAACCTGGAGTTAAACCAGGCTGGCCTAAGCTGATTTACCTCAACTAAAATCAGTGTATTTTTACACTGGATGTCTCCTGCCTGCACCCACCAGGACCTCTGGTCTGACTGAAAGGGAACATTCCCCAAGGAAAATTATCTTGTGGATAATTCCAGCCACAGACATAAACCCCTTCCACGTGTAAAGCATTAGGAAGTGCAAGGATTGACACCAGTTTAATCAGAAGAGGAACCAACCTTGGATTGCCCAGCAAGGTGGTGCTGCTTTTAAAAAAGTGTCATTGCAGTTGATAAGATCCTTTTATTGTCCTTAACCTTCTCAGTCTGAGCACAGTGATTTAGCACAGGCCAAGTGTAAAGCCTTTAAAGTCCCACAATGAGAATATTTGCAGCCTCCAACGAAGTGTGAGCTGAAGGGCTCTGCTAGACCAGGACCAGAACTGGTGGTGGTCATTTGCAGGTCAAATTCTACAGCAGAGACTGAGAAAAATTTGATTTGTAATAAGGCAAAAGACCCCTGAGCTGAAGGAATCAACTGTTCCTTAAAATAGAGGGATATTCAGGGCTGCACCCTCCCTTCCCTGCTTGACCCACAGCCCAACCTTGTGGGCTCCCAGAGGCACAGGCAGAGCCCAGCCAGGAAAATTGAAATGTGAGTTCCCAGTGCTCTCCTCCCCCAAAAAAAGCTCCAGACACTTCTCAGAATGAAAATGGGACTCTGCATCTCCATCCCAGACCTGGGATCCACCATGCTGGGAATTACAGAACCCGCTGAGGTTGGAAAAGACCTCGAAGGTCATGAAGTCCAACATCAGCCCAGCACTGACTGCCATGGTCACCACTAAACTGTGTCCCTGAGCACCACAACTTCATGTGTTTTGAGCACTTCCATGGGCAGTGATTCCACCACTCCCCTGGGCAGCGATTCCCCCCCTTCCCTGTTCCAATGCTTGGGCACCCTTTCAGTGATGGCGTTTTTCCCAGCAGGATAACGGTTGGACTGATGACCTGAGAGGTCATTTCCAACCTCAGGGATCATTTCCAGCCTTGCTTCACTTCAAAGAGACAAGAGGTGGGAGACGCAACTGCCTCCTCTTGTGGTCTGACCATCTCGACCGATTTAGGTAATGATGGTTGGTAATTGCAACCAATGAACGAGCGAGAACAGTTAATAATGGTCAGGCTGTGGGGAGTCCTGGGTCAAACCTGCAGCTTTAGTGAACGAGCTGCCCCGTATCCCTGCCCAGCTCTGTGGATCCCTCAACCAACCCCCTCCCCATGGAGCTGCACCGAGGGCTCTCAGCCACTCCAAGGGCTGGGCTGGGTCTTCACGAGTCACCTGAGGTGGGTATTTCACCCCCCCACTTCGCCGCCTCCTCCTCCTCCTCAGCCATCCCACCTCTGGTGGAAACACATCCCCCTGGCTTCTCGTCTGGAATATTTCCTGGACCTCAATGACCCTCCAGCTTCTCCATCCACCTGAATGGAGAAATCCTCTTATCACCCCACCCCATCAAAGCTGTGCCCCGCTTTTGGGAGGGTCTGCCCTGAGCAAAGCACTCCCCGGGGACTCACCCCTCTCCCAGGCCAGGGCGATGACGAGCGCGGCGAGGAGGAGAGGAGCCTTCATCCTTGGTGGCTTCTTGCAGCTCCCAAAACAGGCAGGACTCGGCCAGGGCAGGTTTTATACCCGGGCAGTGTTTGCTTTGATCAGGAGATAATAACTACAGGGCTGCTGTGTCAGAGGAGGGATAATTGGGAGCAGCGTGTCGGGGCTTGTGTGTCGGAGTTGGAAGTCTAAAAAAAAAAAGGGGGTGTGTGTTCTCCTCCCCTCCCCCCCCTCCTCCCAAACTTCTTTTCCTGCTCGTTTCACAACTCAGCTGCTTCGCCTTCCCTGAACTCTGAGATAGTTTCTAATTCTGGAGAAATGGAGGAAAAGCAAAGCACAAAAAAAAAACAAACAAACAAAAAAAAACCCTCAAAACAATGAGAAGAGGAAGGTTCTCCTTTCTGGGCCTCCCGGGGCTGAATCCCTGGAATATCTTGCCCTGGCACGGCTTGGATTTAAATTTCAAGTTGAATTTGGGATCGAAGCTTCCCAGCAAAACATCTCCCAGGATCTTTCCAGTGCCTTTCACAGGGGACCAGGCATCGTTTTGTGTCTCTTTTTTGAGGCAGCAGTTGAGAAATCACAAATGTTTCTGATTAAAAAAAACCAAAAACACTGGATGTTTTATATGAGAAGAAAACATTATCTTATTACAAAATAAATTCCACTGGGCAAGGGAAAATGACCATTTAAATTAAAAACCAGACATAACACCCACTCCCACAAGCTGTGCCTTTTTTTTTTTTTCTTCCTCACAAATTCCAAAAAAAAATAAATGTCAGGGAGAAAAACACCAACCAATTAAAGCGCTGAGAACGAGGGGTTGTTGCTGATCGAGAATCTCAACTCGTTAAATCTTCAGGGAACACAGAAAAAAAAACCAGCCAAAATTCTGTGAAATGCCAACAAGACTTGGATTTCCATTTTGTGCTCTTTATTCCTTTTATTTTTTTAATCAGGTTTCAGCCCATCTCCCTGTATAAAACCAGATTTTTTTCTCATTTTCTTCGGGTCGTTGTTGTTGTTTTCCCTTCCCCCTGTTGTTTTTCTGCCGTCTCCTTGAGGGGACGGAGGCACAACCCCAGAAAAGGTCCAGCTGGGTCCTCCCACGTGACACTTGGAGCTGCAGGAGCTGCCCCAAAGTCTCTGCTGGTGACTCTGCCCCTTGCTGCTCCCCATCTGCCTCTTTTTCCTTATTTTCCCACCTCGAAATTCCTCGCATTTCCCTCTCCCAGGAAACATTTCGGCCTTCCAACACGACACACCTGCAGCCATTCTCTCACCCAAAAAGCATCCCCGGGTTCTTGGGATGATGTAAGTCTTTCCATCACCTCTAAACTGGGCTTATAAACACCGGCCATGTGTCTGAGGTGAGGAAATTTCTGCTTTCTCAACGGGCTCAGCACGAAACTCAGCGGGAACACAGGGTGGCAATTAATCCAAAAAGCTCCAAGGAGAGGCGTGTTTGGCTTCTTTGGCCTTCCAAAGGCACCAGGAGAGAGGAAAATGGGAGCTGGGATCCTCCTTGCCACTAAACCCCTCTGTCTTGCTTGTGAAATATTTGATTTTCCCCATTCCAGGAGAGGTTTTGTTGGTAAATCAGCTTTGGGTGGTGATTATCTGGTGGATGGGGGGGGGGCGGGGGGGGGGGGGGGGGGGTGTGATGCCCCTCTGCAGAGGGAATGTTGAATTGCAGAGCAGAGCCAGCCCACATTCCCAGTCCTCTCAGCCAACAGCATCCACTCACACAGGTACAGAAATAGCAGCTCCACCAGGCGCTTGTTTTTGATTCCCTCCCCTCGTAATCTCAGCCAAGCCAAACCCTAAAATATCTCCTGTCTCCTGCAAGCTGCCGAGATTTGGAGAAGGCAGGGCTGGAGTTCTTAAAGGCTTTACTACAGGATTTTCCAGTAGGTGATCCTGGAATCTTCCAGCTGGTCCCTTATGTCCTTCTCAACATCCTCTTTGTCCCTCACCAGGTGATAGAAATAATTGAAAAAAAAAAAAAAAAAAAAAAAAAAAAAAAAAAAAAAAAAAAAACAAGCCATGAGGGCAAAAAGGGCACGGATGGTTTTTTTTTTTAGGACACAAGAAGGCAAAGATAAAATCACAGTTTACAAGGATTTGGAACTGATGAACTCCATAAAGGCTTTGGGATGAGCAACAGGGGATTTAACTGGAGGTGGAGGTGGAAAGACTTATTTCCCTTGACAGAGCTGCTGGGAAGAAGGAAAAGTGTTTTCCTCATCTTGTCCTAAACCTGGTTGAAACTGTCGTGTGAGGAGGGCAAAGAGTTGCTTTATTTTTGGGGGGAGTGGGAAATGCAGTTTTCCCAAAACGAAAGCTGAAATAGAACTGTAAATGGATGTAAATGTGACTGTGAAATTCAGATGCAGTTACTAAATGGGGAGTTTTGAGAAAGCCAAAAGCTTTGAGAGCTGTTGCAGGAATTGCTGTGATGAAAATGCAGGAAAAAAAAACCACGGGAAAGGTGGTTAAAAACGTGCAAAAGCCCAAGTTTCTGTTGGTCCCTCAGCACAGAAATGCTGCAACACCCCCATCCTCTAGTTAGAACATTTAAATAAATGCTACAACACCCTCCTTGACCAGAAATTAAAACCTTTATGGGATGATTAAACCTAATCCCATTTTCACAGCCTTCGGACAGAGCTGCGGTTTCTTCCCTTTGCACAGAAATACCTGGACTTTGCCTTGCTGGTGGAGCAGGATTCTCTCAAATCCAGAGCAGGATTCCCCTCAAATCCAGAGGAGGATTCCCTCAAATTCACCACAGGATTCTCTTAAATTCACCACAGGATTCCCCTCAACTTGAGCACAGGATCCCCTCAAATCAACCACAGGATCTCCTCAAATCCAGAGCAGGATTCCCTCAAATCCACCACAGGATCCCCTCAAATCCAGTACAAGATTCCTTCAAATCCAGCACAGGATTTCTCTCAAATCCAGCACAGGATTCCTTCAAATCCAGTACAAGATTCCCTCCAAATCTACCACAGGATTCCCTCAAATCCAGCACAGGATTTCTCTCACATCCAATGCAGGATTCCCTCAGATCCAGAGCAGGATTCCCTTTAATCTGGCACAGGATTCCCCTCAAATCCAGGGCAGGATTCCCTCAAATCCAGCACAGACTTCCCCTCAAATCCAGAGCAGGATTCCCTCAAATCCAGCACAGGATTCCCATCAAGTTCAGCACAGGATTCCCTCAAATCCAACATAGGATTCCTCTCAAATTCAGCACAGGATTCCCCTTAAATCCAGCTGGGCTGCAAACGTAAGGACTTTTTTTCCAGGTGCCGTTATACAGACCCTCCCAAACTTCAGTGCTGAAGTTTTAAGCTGCTCAGCTGGGAATTCCACACTCTCCAGCTCCAAGATTCTGTGTATTTTGCCCATTTATTTATAGTTTCATTCTTCCAGGAGCAGGAGGGAATCTCCACCCCCGGAGTTGCAGGGGATGTCCAACCCAAGAGCTCCAGAGGATCCCCATCCCATCTCTTCCATCCCCAAGCCTGGAAATGAAGCAGTGAATGGAAAGAGGAGTCCTCCCCACCAGCCAAGACACCCGTCACCTCTCCCAGACTCATCCTGTCCATTTTCCCACTGGGAAATCATGACCAATCCCTCAGCAGCATCTTCTCCAGGAAGGCATGGCAGTCTCCTTCCCAGGAGGGCACATTCCAGCAGCACTGTCCTCATTTCGGACATCTCCAGCATCTCCAGGTGGGACTTTTACCTGTTCCAAAAGCTGAGACCACCCACCTTGAGGAGATCACGGGAGAATTTTGCGGGAATGCAATTCCCGCCAAACCCTGGTCGTGCATCCCAGTGGATACAACACAATTCCCACCGCTGTGGGCAGTGGGGACAACACAAACATCCCTGACCTTCCCAGACCCACACCTCTGCTCCCAGAGATCAGAATATTTGGCTTTATGGAATGGATGGATGCAACTGAGTCAGCTGAGAAGGGCAGCCAGGAGAAGACTCGGAAGCGCGGGAAGGAGGAATTCAACGGGAAGCGGAGATTCCCAGGACAACCCTGAGGCTGGCAGAGCTGTTGCCTTGGGCTGGATTTAACAAAGACACTCTAGAATAACACAAATCTTTATTTTGTCTGGTGCTGTGCTATCAAAAGAGCTTTTCCAGGGAAAATTAGTATAAAACGGGGAGGGGGGAAAAAAACCAGGAGCTGCGCTGCCGTGTGGCGTCGGGATCGGGATCTGTCTTGGATTAACAACAGGACAGCACAGACCCCGCTGGAACCACTTGACAGAGGAGCTTGGCTCCTCACTCAGGGGATATCTCAAGGGTTCTTGGGTCGCCCCACGTTGTCCCACCCCTCCTCACCATCCTGCCCTGAGGACACAGACCAAGCTGGCCGCGATTCCCAGGAGCATCACGGCGTAGCTGGTTCGGACGCTGTTGGCGCCGCTGAAGTTGCACAGGGAGGTGCTGCAGCACTTGGTGGAAAAAGCCGCCACCCCGAAGTTCACGTTCGTCTCGGGACAGTCCACGGAGCATTTCTTGGTGATTCGGTGGCCCACGTCCTTGCCTGGGTGGAGGAGGAGGAGGAGGAAGGAGAGCTGTGAGTTTGAGGTTCTTGGGGAAGAGCTGAGCAGGGGGTGGTGGGAGGAGGGGGGTTAATTGTAATTAGTAACAGCTCTCAGGGGGGTTGATGAGTGCTGGGTGAGCACCATGCAAGGCACTAAGCAGTCCTCGATAGAAACCCACACCAAGATTAAATCTCTGGTCTGGGGGATCAGGTGGCAACCAGTCAAAGGTTGGGCTCCATCTTGGAGACCTTTTCCAACCTAAACGACTGTGGGATTCTGTCCTTCCTGTAGGACAGCAGGAAATCACTGCCAGTGCATCTCCCTCTAAATGGCCTCTAAAATGCCACTAAAATGCCTCTAAATCCACATTATTTACACCCAGTCCCTTTCCATCCTTCATCCCAGAGCACGTGGGAGAGTTCCCAGGTCAAGCAACAGCGTCTGCTCCTGAAATCTCTGCGTTCCAGCCACAGGGGTGGTGAGGAACTGGCACAGGTTGCCCAGAAAAATTGTGGATTCCCCATTCCTGGAAGTGTTCAAGGCCAGGTTGGATGGGGCTTGGAGCAACCTGGGATACTGGAAAGTGCCCCTGCCAATGGGAACCAGATGAGCTTGAAGGTCCCTTCC